TAGAACCAAAAGTAATAACCGGTGAAGAACCACAACCAGGTCCTTCAAGACAATCTCAGTTTCAAGATAACCCAAATTGGTTATGGACCAATTCGGCAGACGAATTAGCCAAGAAGCAAGCTACTGATACTGACATTGGACCTATTTATGAAGCTAAAGTACAGAATAAGAAACCTTCAAGTTCGGATATGGTGTCTGAGAGTCCTGCCTGCAGACATTACTGGATTTTGTGGGAAAATCTGCATTTACAAGATGGGGTTTTAATAAAAGACTTCAGTAAGTTGAATGGTACTGGACAGTACATGCAACTTATAGTACCCGGATCAATGAAAATAGATATCATACAACAAATGCATGATACAGTGATTTCAGGACACCTTGGAACTAAGAAAACAAAAGAAAAACTTGCGCAAAGATATATCTGGTTTGAAATGAAAGAAGATGTAAGACTTTACATTATGAGGTGTGACATATGTGTAGCTGATAAACAGCTACAAAAACCACCAAAAGCAGCCATGGGACACATAAGAAGTGGAGCTCCATGGGACACTTTAGCCATTGATTATCTCGGTCCATTTCCGGAAACACCTAGACAAAATAAATACATTTTAGTAATGACTGATCTATTTACAAAATATGTTGAAGTGGTTGCAGTCCCGAATCAACTAGCAGAAGACTGTGCACGTAGAATTCTGAATGATTTCATTTCCAGATGGGGAGCGCCGCTTTCAATACATACAGACCAAGGAAGAACTTTTGAAAGTAGACTTTTCCAAGATCTATGTAAGATGTTAGAGATAAGAAAGACAAGAACCAGTCCAAGAAATCCAAAATGCAATGGCCAAACTGAAAGATATAATAGAACACTATTGAAGATGATAAAGGCATACATAGTAGATGAACAAGATGAGTGGGACTTACACCTTGGTTGTTTGGCAGGAGCTTACCGGTGCACACCATGTGAATCAACAAAAATCACACCTAACTTATTAAGTTTAGGTCGAGAGATTAGATTACCAGCAGATTTGGTATATGGTTTTGCTTCAAATCCAAGAGAAGAACCAGAATGTGCAACATACATAGCCAAGCTAAGGGACAAAATGATGCATGCACATAATATAACAAGACTGTATTTGAAGTCTAGTGCAAAGCGAAGTAAAACGATCTACGATACAAAGACCTCTTATCATGAATACAAAGCAGGTGACGTGGTGTGGTATTTACATGAAACAAAGAAGGTGGGAGTCACACCCAAGTTAGAGAAGATGTTTGACGGACCATTCATCATAAAAGAAAAATTTTCAAATGTAAATTTTGTTATACAAATGGACAAAGATGGCAAGGAAAAATTAGTACACAATGATAAGCTGAAACCATATGTTGGTGTTAATATTCCAAGTTGGATACAGGAGATCAGCAAGACATTAATAAAGAAAAGCTCCAGTCAGTAGAATATTGTAGTCCATGAATAGCATATGTAGCAGTACTTTTAGATGTAGCAGTAGTGTAAATACTGTAAGAGTCATATCAAGAATGTACATGTCAGCAAGACTCATCAAAATCAACCATTGTCAAGATTGTTAAGTTTGTGGTCTGTCAACAATCCTCCATGCCTATTGATGTTTTCAGATTGTGTTCTAAAGGTTGTAACCCTATTGGTAAAAATGTTCAAAATGGATATCGTTTCAGGTTATAATGAGTGAGAAGACACCAAGACGAGGCAAATTGTACACCTGCTTACACTGTCTGAAGCAAGGGAAAACCTTTACAGAAGTGAAGTATTGGGTAACTGGTCACGTATGGAAGCACCATGTACCGTTGTCAGAGGCTGCGTTCTATTGTTCCCTGTGTCTCTTTAGATGCACGACAGAGGAGGCGTTGATGAAACATGTGAAAACCTACAAAAGGCATTTGTTAATGAAGAAAGGGAAGGGTGAAGGTAGTAATGACAGTAGGTATTTAATGAAGAATCCTACACCGAAGATATTATTGGAAGGGGTTGACTACAGGGTGCAGACAGTGGAGGAACGAGTTTCGGGTGTGTCAACTGATGAAGATCCATTTTATGTAAGTGAGAGCAGCACACCGGTAACGGGAGATAGCAGACTGATAACAATTAGTGTGACCCCAGAAGTATTGTCTGATTTCATTAATAGCCAGAATAACAATATAAACAAACAAACTAGTCAAGTACCTTCAGATGATACCGAAATTGTTAAGGACCAAAGGCATTGTATCGTGCAGCATGACCTTCCATTTACGGTAACGTCCTCTTCCATTCCACCAGCCATAGCATCTTCCTTTTTGGACCCCCAGTAACAACAACTATGACGACCGTTCCACCAATGACACCGATCTCACGACAGGAAACCACATCTTTTAACTCGCAACTTTCAATTTTTTAGAATCCCTTTGTTTAACACCTGGGGCAGGCAACACTTACAAGTACATCTGTACTCAACACCCCTATTATCAAAGTCCGCACTGAGGAAAACATTTTGGATCAGCTGCTACCAAATGGAGCGTTAAATTTTGGAACGCCTTTTATCGCCACCCCACAGATTGTGAACACGCCAGAGGTAAACATGGAATTGGAAACAGAGAATGATGAGCCAGAGTGTAAGAAGAGGAAGTGTGAAGATGGAAAGTCAATGGAGAAGTTATTAGAAAGAATAGTGATGTCTATAGAAGCGAACAGTAGAGAGCAATTGAAAGTGTAAAAGGGTCAATGGATAGAATGAACGATAGTTTTAAAGGTTTTACAAAGGACAATGGAAGAGATAAAGTATGAAATAAAAGAGAGCAGAGAAGAGAATAGGAGAAGAGTAGAAAGAAACAACAGACACGAAGGGCACAGAGAATCAAACATAACAAACAGTCGACCGAGAACTAGTTACACATCAGACAACAGACATCACAGTAGAGAATTTAATAGAGAACGACATAGAGAACAAGACAGAGAAGACAAAAATGGAAACAATAACAAAAGACGTAATAATGAAAATGATGAGAGACAACACAAAACCCAAGGAAAGGAGCAAAGCAACAGAAACACTGAGGAGAAAAACAAAAACTTGAAAGAAGGACGATCTGTATTGAAATCAGTGATAAATAAGAAATAAACGATTATACATTAAAATATTCTAGGAACATTAATTATATATATCAGCAAGGAGTCAAACAGGAATGGAGAACTATTTAAGTAATAAATAAGTAAATGGACTGAAAGTATTAAAACATTATGATGTCTATCAACACTATTGTTATATATTGCTACTATAATAATAAGAGATAATTTTGTTAATGAAGCACTGAAATGAACTAAATGATTATTAATTGGTTGTTAATTGAAATCTTTAATTGATTAATAAGTTAAATTTTTAAGATGTATGTTTAATCTTAATTTTTATTTTTACTATTGCATTGTTTCTGACACGTTTATATTATTTCTAAGTAGTATTCGCATATTAAGCGTTATATGAGAGTCAGATGGTAACATTTGATGACGACATTTATAAGTGGGTAGGTAATGATACATCCCGTATTTATTACTTGGTAAACATATCAGTTGTTAGAAACTAGGCATCAACAACTATTAATTCAAGATTTTTACGTTCAATTACTATGAGAGAAGGTTGTCAATACGATCAGATTTTAACGTTGCGAAAGTCTATATCCCTTTATAAACATTCATTGAATTTGGGCCTACCTATGAAAATTCTGCAACTAATATTATTGTACTTATTTTTTTATAATCACAGGTTTTCTCTCGTCATTTAACTTTTTACTTGGAGTTATTAATCTTAAGAATTTAGGAGTAAGTCCGTAAGATAAAAATTGAACTATCATAACACCTCTCTTTGGAGAGTGTCAGCCATGTTGTTTCCAATTGCGTTATGGGTAGTTACCTCATGACAACTATATAGAATAGTGTCAGACTCTGAAGCTGTCAAACTCGATTTTTAAAGTAAATTATATTCACAGATTGAAGCTGCGGGCAGATTAAAGAATACCAAGGTGACAGTCCGTCATGTTATTAGGGTTTAATCCTTTTGATTTTATGTAAATTTTTGAGGAACTTTAGATTCATTTTTTCTGATTTAAATTTAGTTTTTCTTGTATTAAAGTACAAGGCTGTTCCATGTGTACACTTTATTGAGCTGTGTACATTTTGCACACGAATTTCTAGGTTGTGTTCAGAGTTTCATTGAGTGCACACAGTCAGTCTGTGTGTGCACACATAATTTAAGTGTGCAGCTGAGGAGTATATAAGCTCCTGTAAATTCAGCCAAAGAAGTTTCTGAGATTTTGAGCTTCAGCTTGAGTTTTGAAAGTAAACATTTTTTCTGCAATTGTAAGTCAACTTAATGATTTTTTCTATCTTTTGCATTTATAAGAAAACTTTTATCAGTCATTTAAAAGTAAAATTTATCATTTTTAAGTAAGGAATTTATTGTTTAAACTAAGGCTTGTTGTCAGATATATTTGCATTTTGAGCTTAATTACATTAAGCTAATTTAACACATATTAAATTTTAAATATTACATTGCTTAAATTATTGTTTGGACTTTGTTTATGTCATATGTGTTTTGCTGACATTTTGATAGTTAAGTTTTAATTATTCATATGATAATTTTGATAAATACTAATGAAATAAATAATAACGTTTAAATTTACTAAAGCTTGGTGTTTCTTATAATAGAAATAGTTTAAGTAAAGGTATAGGTAAATAAACCCTTAAGTAGAAACTTCCGATTTAGCTTAGCCATTTCGAGCCACACTCCCCCCTTCTTTGTCCAGAAGTAACTTGAGCAGAGACCTTAGAATTCAACTTAGAGATACCTAAGCCGGTCAGAGCGCAACAATATTGCATGACTTCAAATGCGGTAGTTGATATATATAATAAAAGTATTATGTTCTAAGTATACATGGTGTTTGTTCTATTTTGGTTTATTAAAATAATTGTGAATAAAATATGAAAAATAACATATCTCTTATACCTTTGTTTATCATACTGCTCATGACCAGTTTGAAGTTAGACTCATCTGTACTGATTTTAAAGAAATGCTGTTCGTTTTCAATCTGTGAAGCGAGTTTCCTCATTGTTTCTAAGCCTTTAGTATCCCTAAGGTCCCCGATTGCAATTGAATATATTTCCACATCAAAGTCTTCTTTCAGACTTAAAGACAAATCAGTTGGATCATCCGTAGATGTCAGTCTTCCTATTATAAGTACAAATGTAAAATAATCATATAATTCTATAACATATTTGGAAAATAAGACTGAGTGGATATCACACATAGTATGAACAGCTTTAAAGTAAGTGTATAAATGCACTGATTCAAACTTGAATTTTATTGCCCTCCGAGACCGATCACTCTATTGGTCTGTCGCTTGTTTTCACATCAAAAAGGAATGGTATGTATAAAAATGGTCGTCCCAATGATTGTTGATTTCTGTGTTATCGAGCTTGTAAACTATATCGTGTGATAGAATACATACTCTTGTGTCCATGCATACATAATGTAAACATAGGATAATCAAAAGCAGAATCATTAAAGAACTCCCGAAACAATAAAATTGAAAAGGTTGAAAACTCGTATTGATTCAGCCTGATCTTAGACGGTACTTGGAAATGAAATTACGGGTTGTCCAAGCAAATAGCACAAGCAGAATTCAACATTAAATGTTGAATGGTAAAATTTAGAAATTTGAACCTTCTGCAGATGTATTCATACGGCGGTTACCATGGACCTTCAATGTTGCATTAGTGTCATTCCATCAAAAGAGGCGTATGTTCCCGAATTATAAGAAAGCTCTAAACGAGAGCACAATAGGGGAAGTAATAAAAGGGCATTTTGAAAGGGGATAAGAGATTATAAGCCAACAAATCACACAGATAATACGTCAAAAGCAGGCACCATCTCTTAATGGTTCTAGGACTTACATAATACTTGACCATGCAAGACAGTTTCGCTTTTGAAATTTGCTTCAAAAGTAAAAAGCCATAATGTAAAAAGGAAATTTCTGAGTGGTAAAATTATGTGAATTATTTGCAAAAATAAATGTTCGTTCAGTAAAAAAGAATTCAAATGAATCTGAAAGTACAAAAGCGCGAATAATTGTCTAGTTTATTTATGGCACGAATTTTTGGACTCACAAAGTTTCGGATGTTATAAAACAAACTTCGCTTAAAGTTTACATGTATAATTAATCAAAATCTTGTTCGTTACTTTTTTGTATCAATTCTTTGAAATTGCCTTAGAAACATTCTAACTGCACTGCAAAATCCTTCATAAACTTGAAAATTTGGTGTTGACGTATACCCAGTATTTTAAGCGAAAAATTGTAATGAATAACTTACTTATTTTCACGGGCAGTTCGAATCCCATTCTTTTGAACGAGAAAACTTTCTAGTAAAGTTATAAAAGACTGTTGGTTCCTCTATTTTATACAAAGAAAGTCCCTTAATTATTCTACAACTATTAAACCATCAATTCGTGTCATAAACTGTTCAGTATCAGTTAACGGTATGTATATATCGTAACAGGCTCAATTCATAAAAAGTGCCACTTACCGTCACTGATAACTATTAAAACTTGTTGGGAAATTCTGTCTCTTCGATGTTTCTGACCCTTTAGTTTAGTTTTTATTTGTTCATATATGTCTTTCAATGCAGCTCCAATTTCAGTCCCATCCTCTGTAAAAATAACAATCTGTAAATAACTCTAATTTCGTTCGATCCAATAAGTAATTAACCTTTATTTTGTTTAATCCAGTTTGTTATTAACTCATTTTCATTGACTTATTCGCAATGGTATTTACATGCAAATACAGGGATCAAACAATTGTTGCAGTCATACATGTCATGGTTCATAATTGTTCACTATTTAGGGGTGAATATTTGTAAGCGACCGTAGACCGTAGCTCAGCCGATAGTGAAAATTTCACCACTTTCGAGTTTGAATGTTTCATTCTGCTAATGCCAATTATAAGTGACGCGGACGGTTTCTTTTGCTCTGCCAAGTACAGTCCATGGAAAACTCAATCAAACCCAACCTGTAACATTTTTAATTAAGTCTTTTTGTTGGGTTTTGGGGTTTTTTTTAAAGAGATTTATGACATTTTTCTCTACTTTAAAGCGAAATCCATCAATAACATTTTTTAAATTTAATTGTAGCCACATATGCATTTATGTACTCTTCAATTGCCATTTCGACGCCAATAGATATTAGACTATTAAGGATTCAAATTTAAGGATGAAAATGAACTTTAAAGCTTTATATGACGAGAATATGGAATTAAACAACTTTGCAAAACAATGAGTTCTTTATTGCATGTTCTTAATTTAAAACTTTCCTGTCTATGCTTTTTTTTGTTATGTATGGAAATATATGACGTTCATCGAGATTCATGCATTCAAATTCTTTGATATATCACAACAGCCTATTTTCATGACTTTCCTTACGATATTTAACGCACAAATATCAAAATAAACAGACATTACAGAAACATGTTTACACTATTGTGGTTAAATGGATAAAAACATGAGTCATCGAAGGACAGTATACTTACTTGTTACCTGTTTTATTGTGTGCAGTTCACTTGTTTTATTATAATGTCCAAGTTCTTTTATTACGTCCTCGTAAGATTTAAAAGGCCCCTCCACTTCATCTGATTTTATATGATGTTCAAACATCCTATACGGTTTGGTGCCAAAGAATGTCAGCGCTAGCCTTGTACCAGTATCACCATCATTTATACCAAGCTTTAAAAAGAATATATTGATGATTTATAGGGAACTGACAGTCAAAATACTATCTATAATTGTTCAAAGGAAACAACAACATCAACAGTTCTCATGATTATAACAACCATAAGGACCAGTTATTCCCACGCGTTTACAAACTTAACATTTACTAGCATTCGTCGTGAATGATCACCCACACATGTTTACCATATTTCATCTTTAGTTGCTCCCTTGAGTACCATTCCCCTGGAATAAACAACCCCTGTGTTAACCAGTCTCCCGATGACACGTCCATCTTATTACCGGACCCAGTGTTTGCCAAATCATTAACAGAAAGAACCTCTTAAAACCAATATTGTGTTTAACAATTCAAGTGTAAGCCCAGTCACAGTGATATTCATTTCTCGTTTTTACAAAACCCCAATTATTGTAATTTTATATTAATCAGTCCCCATATTTACCGTTTTACCAGTAACTCACGAATATGAGAGAAACGCAGGATTTGTACAATCATAGTAACACTAATTTTTGCATTGTATGGCCAAAACGAGCACTACGGTACGTAAATAAACCAATTTATTTATATCAAATGTTAATCCAAATGAATGAAATGAATTATATCACATCGTCATTGAGATATTATATGTTAGTAAGATAACGCGTGTTTGTTCTAGGTATTTCGTAAGAATGACGATCTCACTAACGTTTTGAAGTTTCATCGTCGCGTATAGATAATATACGTATGTTTGTTTGGGTTTTACGTCACATCGACACAGTATAGGTTATATCGCGACGTTCCAGCTTTACTGGTGGAGGAAGACCTCAGGTGCCCTTCCGTGCATTATTTCAGGCACGAACGGGCACCTGAGTAGAACCACCGACGTTCCGTAAGCTAGCTGGATAGCTTCCTCACATGAAAGAATCCAAAGTCCCTGTCGGGATTCAAACCCACAGCGGTAAGGGGCAAGTGGTTTGACGTCAACGACCTTAACCACTCGGCCACGGACGCCCGATAATATACGTATAAATTAATAAACAACTAATGTATTTTTTGATGATATACGTATAAATTACATTAGTTGTTTATTCAGTAAACCCGATACATTTGAAAAACTGCTCATGTCATATTTCACTGTATGTGATTTCGTGAATGGTGCATCGGAGCGACGTTGGTTTTCTCATTAAAGTACTTGAATCATTTTTAATCGACTTCCTTAAGCATTAAGTGACTCGACCAGTTTGGTGAATGCCGAAGGTACATTCATACTGACATGTATGTATATAGTCTTTCCCACGTACGATCAATACAAATAAACATATCTCGTTTGTATGAATAACTATCATTAACCTATTACACGTTTTGCATATTCTGCATTAATTATGAACAATTACTGCTTGATTAACATTCCTGCGTTTCTTGAAATATACAGTGACATTAGTCAAATTCAAATATGATCAAAGTGAGTTTCCTGCAAATAAGTATCAACTGATCATGATCCGATTGTTGTGTATAAGAAGCCTTTTTAACATGAGCCCGTCATAACTCGGCATGATACGATTTTTACGAACAACCCGTCAAAGAAGCACTTTTTGTAAAGATCCATAAACGGTATAAAACAGGTTGTTGATGTTCTTTAAGCGTCTTGATGAATTTAACTTTAAAAGACGCCTTTTTGAGTTGAATAAGTGAAATAAATACCTCTGGAAGTAATGCATAAACAAAAGATAAAGTTTCGTTCATCTTTTCCGGTGTCTCAACTTTTGAAATATCAACAAGCAGATACATGTCTACACCTTTCCTGTTCCAGACATTTATTGTCTTTGAAATGGCCGTATCTGATTTAGTCCTGTTTTGCGAAATCTGTTTCATAGCCGAAACCAACTCTATTCCTACTCTTAAATCAACCAAAGATGTTCCTGTAAATTAGAAATCAATACATTTCAATATATATTTTCGTACTCTATTCATCGATTGGATAAACAGTTCACCATTTGTAATAAGTCCCTTTGAATAATCACTTCGATTTTGTCTCAAAAGGAGTATTCATTTTATAAAAACTGTATTCGCTACATTCTCCGTTTGTGTCTCACGTGACCAATTACTATGCAATACTCTTACAAGTGTTGTAACTAAAACATCTTGGTTTGTGTTTAACAAATCCCAGACCCTAAAAATTGTATTTACTAACAAACCCTGTGTCCTAAAAAAATAAAACAAATATCATATCTAAAACAACGTTTGTGTTTTAAACGATCTTACCATTTTGTTATTCAGTACATCTTAAACTAATATTGTGTTGTTAAATTGCACAATTACAAGACAATGGTCTGTTACACTGAAGGCATGACATTGATTACCTTACCTGTGCAATCTATAGGAGTACCGCTCCAGTACCTATTTTTCAGGCAAGTCCGGTTTGTAGATCCTCCGTAGTATTTTCCAGACTTACATGTGAATTCTAGTACGTCACCCATTTGATATCTTCCCGAAGAAGTTTTACTCATAGCTCCAGGTGGCAAACATGGAGGCGGGCAGTATGCATCTAAAGAAGTTAACGAATAATTTAACAATAAATAATACAAATTACCATTCACGAAGCCACTTGAAAATCTCAACTTTATGTAAATTTCAACCATACTACTAGCTAGGGTGATATGTGAATGAATTTGTGAATCAAGTGCTACAGTCTGGCTAAACATATGATGGAAAAAGTAACACATGCCGCAATAATTATTGAACTTAATAAATTTATCGGATATGTAGTAGTTAAAATGTAGCCGTCTTAATTCTAGGATAAAGATCACCAAATACTAAGTTGTACAATGCGTTATGCTTTCTAGTGATTTTGTAGTTTCAAAATATCTACAGTTCATAACAAAAGAAAGCCAATCTTTTTACGGCTACATATACTTTGCAAAATGGAGTCAGTGACTCCAGTGAATATAATTCAAAAAGTTTTCATGGTTAAATGTTGAATTCTGTTTAAGCCTGTGCTAGCGAGGACGTGGACATTAACTTGCACTTTTCAGAACCGTCCAAGAACAGGCTCAATCAAATCGAGCCTGCAACATTTGCAATTTTGCAATTTTGGGGCATTCTTTATGGATTCTGTTTTTTTTCTCTCTTTTTCAGTGAGATGATTTTGATTAAGGATGAATGTATTACGACCTATCATATAAAGATAATATAACATTTATTCTAGTCATCAAATAAGTAAATGTTTGTTCATTAAATATTTATTTATATTTCACTTTTAACTAATTGTTTCCACTTGATAATATAATGCATACAAACAATATGATATATAAAATTTATTTTACTGTTTTTTATATGTATTTTTGTTTCAGCGTTAAAGAACCTGACTAGTCACTTTAAACAGAACCTAAATGATGTGAGTTAATTCTAAGATACCTTTATGTGCACATTTTACACAATCATGATCCCATTCCCCGTTCGACTGGCATTTCCACACCGGGTATCCTATCAAGTCGTAACCAGATTCGCATTCGTAATTCACTGTTCCATTCACGTAATTGTGATCTATTTTAAGATATCCATTACCAGGGCTTTCCAGTTCGATACACTTTATCCCTAAATGAGAGAAATATGTTTTACTTTATTTCATGATCATTTATATTTTTAATTTATATTGAAATTGTATTCTGAATGTCTTCGATTTTTCTTTACTTAAAATTGAAAAGTAAAATCATTTATCCAAATAGTTCATTTTAATAAATTTATTGTCCAGTTTGGTATTTCTTGTTTTTTAAATTTTATTATTAAGAAAAAAGTTATGTAAACTCACGTTCGCAGCCAAAGCGAGTTAAAAAAGCATTGCTAAAACTCGATGGTGTCATGCAAAGTGCAGATTTAACGCCGCCCTTGTGCCGATATCCGTCTTTGCATTCCAGTTTCATTTCGTCGAGAAATTCGTACGTTTCTTTAAAGTTTGAAATATAACCATCACTAATGTCAGCAAATACGGAAGCATCGCATTGTATTGCTGAAACAAAAAACGGTTAAAGATTAACAGATTGTAACGTTGCAATAATATGTCACCCGAAATTAACATGTTTTTTAACAAACGAAATAATGGTAATTTATACACCAGATTTTCAATTTTTGAAATCCTAGTTATTAGATTGGTGTTCCGTATTCCGTTAAGATTTTAAATATCTTAGCAAAAACTTATTATATAGCAATTATTTAAAGGCATTGCTTGGAGTTACGTTTGGTCGCCTAGGGTCAAAGGTCACTTTTACAGAAAAAATGGAAACGTTATCCGGTCAATAATTAAAGTTAGGAAAGCGATATTTCAGCAACACTTATTATGTAGCAAGCTTCTGTGAATATCTTTCTTGAGATTGCGTTCGTGTTTCTAGGGCAACGTCAAAGTAGCTATTTCTGAAAAAAATACTTTGTGTTTGGGAAAAGATTATTTCACAAAAAACAAATTGTGCATCAAACATTTGTGATAACCTCTTTTGGGATCTTTTTTTGCGTCCCCTAGATTCAAGGTCAACGTCACTTTTACTGTAAATAACTAAATTGCTTGAATACGATATTTCGATGAAAGTTGTTAATAGCAAAGTGATGTAGGGAATTGCTTTTTTGCGGAAGCCAGCACCTGCCTATATTAATTCGATGTTTCACTAAAATTAGAAAATTAGTTTAATTTTTAAATGAGATATATTTCATTTAAACTGAGTGAATAGCGAGACTATGTTTAAACACTACTTTGAATTGTTCAAGGCCCATGTAAGATCAAGACCACGGCCACAAGCCTATGTCAAGGTAACTCTCACTTGAAAGATAAAATTGTGTTTTAAGCAGAATAAGGAGTGAGATATTATAAGAATAGTTGGTATATAAACAATTATTTAAAGACATCATCTAGTATTGCTGTAGAACACACTCTCCACCGAACAAGGTCAATGCACTTGTATCTGTTGCAATTTTAAAATGCATGCTTTGTTCGTTTTTTCTTAACTATTTATAATATACATTGCACATAGTTGTATTGTACAATACTTGTTTTTGTATTTGTGCTATAATCAATCCTTCTTTTATGGTGAAAATACAAACATGATTTCGGGTCATTGTCATGTTTCTTTCTTATTTTCTTTTAAAGTACAGATTAATCGAGAATTATGCCAACAAGGTGAACATCTAAAAAGTTTCAACGGGATAATTAAATGAATTTCCGCCAGATATTATTTCAACAATAATTAAAGCTACAATGGGTTATATAACTAACATACTTTAATGATAATAATCTTTTGTTCATAAAGTTAGGGTAATAAGAGGAATCTCTTCACAGGGCCGATCAAACAAGGCAGAAAATAAGATATTTCAGTTCAAGTAGGTGTTATTTACTGCCCATTATAGTCTCCAACCTGATTTGTCTGATGCAGTGAAAAGAGGAAGCAAAGCGTCCAACTTTGAGAGGGGTTAATCTGTAAGATGTAGTGTGTTTTAAGTCGAGTCTTATCCTTTTGTGATAAAATATTTGCTAATGCGACGAGAAAAATAACCATAACCTGAAATCTTATATTATTTACAAAGAACTTCTCTAAAAAGATACTGGCTCAAAAAAGTCTGTGTTACAAGTTTGAACACTGGATCATGCCATATTTGATCTCAGGAGCGTGAATTATGTTATTTTTTCTGCTACATGTCAAACGACAATCGTAAGTAGATATAGTTTTGTTACAATCTTCAAGTTTATTCTAAATAAGTGACCGGTGACAAGTGTCCATTGTGACTCTATGCCAACGATTGATTTGAACATTTTTGATGGCAATTAAGTGATGTAACATGTTAATATCTAAGATATGAGCAATGTTGTTACCGAGAAGAGAAATTCCAAAATCTGTTTTCAATACAAACTAATTTACAATTGTTAGCCTAGTGCGGATTCTCTTTTACATGGACCTAAATTGCATGTTGTTTGTATGATTTAATTTGACATCGTCAGATCAAAAAACCTATGGTCTAAGAAATTAAGTTTCCAACGAAACAATTCAATGATTGTTTCCATACATGTCTATGCACGGATTTCTTGGACTATATGTAACTTTTAGTGTATATCTTTTGTAAGGCCATACCAGTCTCTGAGATGGAGAATTCTTAAACAGTCTATTTTAGCTATTTTATGTATAAGACGTTTATATATTATATTAAATAAGAGACGTAATAATTGGAGAAAAGCAACATGTCGATCATCCTTGTAAAGTTAATATAGCCCAAACCCACCATGTGAACACTGTATATTTCACCCTACCCAACATACATCGAACATTTCAAATTTACTGTAACATCGTCATTTAAAAAGTGTTTCATAAGCCTAAAATATATTTTTTTTATTTTAAAGATAAAAATATATTTATAAGTGAACAAAACTCGCTAAAATGCTTTACACTGAAAGAGTTTGTGTAAAAATCACCTTAAGTTACAAAAGTAATCTACCATGGCCCCAGGTAAAGAGGTCAACTAGTGTTTATTTCTATAAATGATATTTTTACGAATTCAAATACAACAAGGCTTAAAAGAAATAATTTCAATAATTGAAGTATCAGATAATAATAACTGTAATACGTAAGCCACTGCAGAAATTTTTCAAAAAAACATCAACAAACTTACACTTGTCAAACAGTTTTCATTTGGTTGCTGCAAGTTAAAAGAATTTAATATGTTAAGAGGTTAATCATACGCTCAGCATTTACCTTGACATTCACCAAAGTACAATTGGGAATCGGGATAGCCATTCCAAAAGCCCTCAGCGTCGCAAGTAATATCTTTTAACACTGACACAATTACCGGTGCTGCAGTTGTTGTCAGTTGCGGCGATTTGTCATCTATGTTGTTATAATCACCAAAGTCATCTCCGTTAAAAAAGGCAAATGTTTCCAGGTCTCTTAGCAATGTAAATCTGCGAAAAAAGATGTCATTAGTAATAACTTAGTTGCATTGAAGTAAGTATTTTAGTTTGATACCTTTCACTAATTGAAGAATAAAATTAATAATCATTTTATACAAGATAAACCATTTAATCTACAATTTAGAAACTCAGTAAACAAGTTACCAATATCGCTTGCTATCTTTAGACATACATATAGTATTTTAAGTTTTTAAATTGATTTTCTTGTTGCACATTTTCCTTTATCTCATTTCTTGATATCTTTGTTATGTTTATGCCAAAAATGCTCTTAAAATTCCCCACGTGAGAACTTTGTAATAGATAATGAAAACATAAAACATTTGTAGAATGATGAACGCAGCATTATGTGATAAGAGAATATAAAAAAGGTTCAGCATGTGGATGATATTTACCCCGGTTTACAGCTGTACTTCAATGAATCACCAGTGTAAAAATCGTTTGCGGCTTCCTTATCATTACTGCTCGAGATAGAGATTAGGTACCTTTTCGTTATTTCTCTAGTCATGTTCCTTGGAAATGGTGGATCTGAACATTTTTTCTTTCCTGGTTATATTGAAATGTCAATGTAACAACTCTAGTCATGCCCTCAAAATTACATAGATATCACATTTTACACATTTAAATAAAATGAACCAGATTAATGTGGGCCACCCCATATGAAAACCAACATAGTGTAGAAAATGACGTTATTATCGATAAATGTTATTTGAATCTTACGTCAAAATATGCATGATTTTTATCAATTTACAGCGTAACGTACACAATTCTTACTTAACGCTGTCCGTGGGCGTATTCTCGCTCCTTATATATATGGCGTGTTGAAATTGCAAGACAGAATACATGTATTCATAAAACGTTTTCATCAAACCATAATACATGTATTAAAAATGTTTAGATTAAAGGTAGCTTGACTTAATCGTATACTTATTTCATTAACACTTTTAAATTAGTATGACGCCAGGGAAAGAAATGGCTCATCAATTAATTGAAATTATAATAATCATTAAGATGAATGTAAAAAAAAACACACAAATTAAAAATAGATATGGTCGCAAACGACTTTCAAGAACACTTCATGAAAAGTGTTTGAAAAACCAATTATTTGTGTTTATTATATTAAGTCATGAAAACTGTGAAGGTGCAAACAAATCCAAAAAAAATATATTTAAAGAGAAAGAAAAGAAAAACAACGAAATATGATTTGACAAAATGACCAGGAAAAACAGCGAACTCACTAAAACAGATAAGTACCACACTTGTATGGGGTTTTAGAAAGCTCATTTCATGTAGTTATTATAGGCCCCCTCCCCCCTATAAAAACCAAACAAAACAAAATCCAAAAAGCAATTTACACTTTGATGGACTATCTATATAACAACAATTTTGTTATGTACCTTGTGATTCAATGAATTAGTGCTGTTGATCTGGACATGAAATTGATTTTGCTTTGCTTGACACGTGACCGTATGATGACATTACGCACGCAATCAAATCAGACGCATGTGAACATATACATAAAGAAAGAAAATCGTTTCGTATTTCAAACACGCGTGATTAAATTCACTTTGATTTAATGCTTATATATATTTAAGTGAATATGAAAGTTTTTATGCTTAATTAAAGCGTTATTTTTATTTTCAGTACACTGCCAATCTTTTACATCGCATATTTAGCAAAAACCAGCTCTTAAACTGTTATATTTTCCTATTGATTAGATCTGGGTTTTCAAAATGGTTTAAGATAAATTGTATTATTTTTTTCACTTACTACTCGGCTTGTTTTACTTCCAGACAGATATAAGCACTTAAACAACCAGAACATGTAAAAAGAAGATAATTGAAGATAAGGTCACAGCAATTAAGCTCGAGAGAGATTCCGTAACACGCTTTGAAATTTGTTAAAACCTGTACGATGAATTCTTGTCTCATTGCCACCCGCAAAAACCCAAAAGATCATAATAACTCATAAACGATCATGATTTTAAGATGAAAGAAAAATATTATTTCTATTGAGCAGTTTCATTCATTTAAAAGAACGAACATTACATAGACGGCCTGCAGGATGTTTTTTTTTTTAAAGATCTATATTTGAACAATTTATTTTTCTCTTTTTTTCACTTTAAGAATTTGTATACATTTCTTTCTCTCATATTTCCTACCATTATAGTAACTGATCTTTTAGAGCAGAAACAATAAACAGGCCAAAGCGAAAATACCTTGAGCAATTTTCTTTTCTTTCTTATCTTTGTCGAACGCAAGAGATAAACGCATACAAATTGTGTATATAGTATAATAACTGTACTATTTCGCATTCTTTGTTGTTCTTTTGATTGATCTTTATGTCATCCTCCTAAACCTTATTTTAACGTTTCGACGTTACGTTCAATTAAAAAATCATTACGTCAATGTCTATAAACCTGACGATTTTGAACCATTTAAATACCAAAGGCATATCAAAATGTACCTTAGTAAGTTGTAATAATTGTATCTCCATACAATTGTGAAAACAGTAAAAATGTGATTTTTGTACTATGTTGGTTTTCTCATGAGGCGGCCCATATATGTCATTTTGTTTACTAGTATTATTGATGTGGTGGGGGTCGATCTGAATTTTCGTCAATGTCACCATATCTCATTGTATATCCTTTATAGACTTGGTGTGAAGATCTTAAGCATTTCCTTCATAATGATATATTCATGAGCATCAAGAAGATAATTCATTTGAACATAGAACATACAAAAAGATAGCAAATGAACGGTTTGAATTAAAAATATGACTCACTATTCAAGATAAAAACTAGAACTGTGTCCAAAGGACACGGATGCCCCCACTGACAACATATATATGGTATATAGTGAAAAAATCAACAAAAAGCCATAATTCTGTTAAATTTGGTCGCAACAAAATTCCTTCCTTTACTTCCATCTACACATTAAGGTTGCTCATCCCTGGAAGTTTAAGCAAAATTTGCCATCCGGTTTAAGAGGAGTTGCGTTCACAAAATTTCTATATGGTATATAGTGAAAAAAATCAACAAAGGGTCATAATTCTATTAAATTTGGTAGCAGCAAAAAATCCGTCCTTTATTGTCATCTACACATTAAAATTGTTCATCCCTGGAAGTTAGAGCAAAATCTGCCATCCGAATTAAGAGGAAATAGTGTAAAACAGAATCCCTAAAGAAAGTCCAACACGGCAAAATTGTAAAATGTTGCAGGCTCGGTTTGATTGAGCCTGTTCATGGACGGTAATGGAAATTGCAAGTAACTGTCCGCGCCCCCTAGCACCGGCTTAAGCAGAATTCAAGATTTAAACACTAAAACGGTGAAATTTGAATTAAGAAACATCCGCAGATGTGTTCATACGGCGGTTAACATGGAACCTTCAATGTGACACAGTAGTGTCATTCCATGAAAAGCGGCGTATGGTCCCAAAGTAAAAGAATGCGTGTGTCCCAAACGAGAAAACAATGGGCGGAACTAAATAACATGGAATTTTGAAAGGGGATCCGAGGTTATGAAGCCTGCATATCACAGATAAGACGTCAAAAGACAAATTTAAAAGGCAGGCAACATATCCTATGGGTGATTATACAGTATTCAAGTAGGAATACTGTAACCACCCAATTGCGTTCACAAAATTTTTTACATAGTATATAGTGAAAAAATCATCAAAGGGCCATAATTTTGTTAAATTGGGTCGCAGCGAAAATTCCTTCCTTTACTGCCATCCTCACATAAAGGTTGTTCATCCCTGGAAGTTTAAGCAAAATCGTCCATCCGGTTTAAGAGGAGTTGCGTTCACAAGATTTCGGGACGTACGAACAGACGTGCGGACGTCCGTACCAATTTCTCAGGTTTATTAGCTATTTCTATTGTTCTTTTCTTTTGTTTCCTTGTGGGCTAACTATTGTTTCCGTATGAGCTAACTATTATTTACGGAATGAAGTCCTTTGTTCTCTTTTGTCCCAGTGTACCATTAGTAAGCTCATATACCTAAACTATTTTGTGTGGACAGACGTACGGACGGACAGACGTTCTGTCGGACCGACAAGTGCAACACTATATGCTCTCCATTTTGAAGTGGCATAAAAACTATAAGTTTGTAGTTCAGAAAAGTTAAATCAAGTAGGTATTGTTTTTGGTAAAGTATTTAGTTCAACAAAAATCTAGCTTTAAATGTTTTTGTTTAATAGGTATAATTAGAAATAAGCACATACGTTCGCATGTCACGTTGCGTAGATATATAGTATCAACCCTAGTCAACTTTGCTTTCCATTCATATGAATCAGACTTCCGTTCGAATTTGCACTTAAAGGTAAGTTTCTCCAAGTCTGGTATATTACTAACGAAATCCGACCGGCACACATATTTTCGTTTCCTTTCATTCATAGATGTGAAGGAGCCATTATCAAGTATCTCACCTGCTTCTTTACATATTTCTGTAGAAAAAAAAGATAATAAGAAACAATGATAGGATAAAGAAAGGCAGGGAAGGCAAGGGAAGGGAAAGGAAAGGATAGGACAGGGCAAATGCAGATATGTTTTATTCCCGTGTCTACCCTCTAATGCGTGTGAATTCTTTCAACATTGTTTCTTTAACAGAAATGACAATTTCAAAAAATACAGAATCCATCATTTACACAGAATGTCTGTTTTATGTAACACAAGTGTTGCCTAATCGCATGACAACAAATCGGGGGAATTTAAAGTGGTCGTTTAAGACAAAAGTCGCTTAATACACGTGGTCGCATGGGCAAGTTAGACTGTATGTGCATGTTTTGCTTTTACGGCCCATCTGAAAATATAAGCAGGGCCCGAAAGTGGTATTTTCATTGAGTTACAAACAATACGGTTAAATTTGAATAATAATAAGGTCATTTTAGCACCAAACTGAGTTGTGAAATGTAACATATTTTACTATTTTTATATCGATAATTTTATGTCCTCCATATTTAGTAAATCATATTGCATCCTTATTTGATAACTTATTACACTTAATTAAAAGCAGAATAAAAAAAAATACAAACGCGTTTATTGCAACAGCTATAATGCAAGGTTATTTAACTTCAACTACTTGAATCAAGACACAAAAAAGAGTTGAGTACTTACGCTTTCTTCTTGTGGTACAACTCAAACCCATAGACATCCATATCAAAAGCAAAATCTTTAATCCTAACATTTTTAAAAGAAAACCAAAACAAAACAACAAACAAACGAATCGTTATAGAAAAGATCGAGTTGAAATTAACAAGTCACGCATATACTACATGCTGCTACAAACTTGAAACAGCAACACAATGTTTCGTTGATAACGGAACAAGGTTAATTTATAAATTTTCAGGAGAAATGCTTATCTGAAAAATGCTACACCATCACGTGGTTGGAAACTATTGGTGAGGAGGTGTTTAACTTATGATATGTTTTATCAATGTTTACATAATCTTTTTATTTTGGGATCGGACGTAGTATTCTAGTTACAGTTTGTCCAAAATTTATTTAATATTCTCGTATATAGATTTTTTTTTACGAAAAAGA